TTTTCCAAGGGAGGGACATAAAGTTTACTAAAACTAGCAAAAAACAGTTAAGGGTCTGATGTGTTGATGGTTGCCCTTGGAGCATGTATGCTAGTACAGTTATGAGTGAGGGCAGTGTAGCAATCAAACAGTTGAACAAAGAGCACAAATGCCATAGAAATGTGCACACCAGACAGGTGACATCAGAATGGATTGCTGAGGAATTACTTGAAAAGTTGAGAAAGAATCCAAACATGACCATATCTCAGATGGAAGAAGTGATTTCTGAGAAGTATGCAGTACAACCAACAAAATGGAAGTTGTACAGGGGAAAATGGAGAGCTCTTGAGATTCTTAGAGGTTCAGTAGCAGAGCATTATGCTTCTCTGAGGAGTTACATGGCAGAGCTGTTGAGGGTGGACAGAGATGGAAGGTTTGAGTTTCTTCTTGGTGAAGAAACAACATTCAGAGCTTTCTATATTGGATTCAGTGCACTGAGAAAGGGTTTTCTTAGGGGTTGTAGACCCATTTTAGGATTTGATGGGTGTTTTTTGAAGTCTTTCTTAGGGGGGGGCTCTATTGTGTGCCACATCAAAAGATGGCAACAATCAGATATACCCAGTTGCTTGGGCAGTTGTTGAAACAGAGAATGAGGAGTCTTGGAGGTGGTTTTTATCTATTTTGTTCACTGATCTTGGCATTACTGATGGGCTTGGATATACATTTATGTCAGACCAACAAAAGGTAAGTATTCTCTCTAACATGGCCGAATTTCTAAATTTCTGAACATGTTTATATGTGATATGGTCTTGGATATGCATTTCTGAATTTCTCTCTGACATGTATGAATTTTCAAATTCTGACATGTATGAATTTTCAAATTCTGACATTTGAGTTTCTGAATTTGTGAATTAGGTAATATAGCTGAGTTTATGAATTTGTGAATTAGGTCATAATATATCTAAGTTTCTGAATTTCTGAATTAGGTAATATAGCTGAGTTTCTGAATTTCTGAATTAGGTCATATAGCTTAGTTTCTCAATTTCTGAATTAGGTCATATAGCTGAGTTTCTGAATTTGTAAATTAGGTCATAATGTATCTGAGTTTGTTCAAAATTGAAATCCTTCAATATGATTTTTTAACTTCTGCATATCTAAATTTTATTTTTCAATTGTTGTTGTACTTTTTCAGGGACTTCTAAATGCATTGAAGGATTTAGCCCCACATGCTGAGCACAGAAATTGTGCAAGGCATGTATATATGAATTGGAAGAAGAGTTTCAAAGGGAAAGCACTGAAAAGCATTTTTTGGAAGACAGTTCTCAGCACTAACTTGGGTGACTACAACATAAATTTGGAGGATTTGAAGCTTGAAGATCCAGATGCTTGGGAAGATTTTATTGACAGAGACCCTACCAAATTTTGTAAGGCCTATATTTCTCCAATGCCTAGATGTGATATGATTGAGAATAATGTGAGTGAGACTTTCAATGGTCTTACTGTTAAGGGTAGAAGCAAACACATTATTGATATGTTGGAGTTTGTAAGGAGTGAGT